AAAAGGCAGAAAATTTATTTCTGAGACAATGTCATCAGGGATTCCCAGTAAGGAAATATGTTAGAATATGGGGAGGGGTGCGTTTTCAACCTTCACCTCCCTCCACCTCAGCCCACCTCCGTCTCCAAGGAGACTGATCCCTACCCTACCACCTCCCATAGAAATGAAACCTCCTTGAGCCATGGTTACTGATAGGAGTGAGTGATATGGCTTCAGGCAGGAAAAAGAGAGACGCTTGCATTATTAAAGGAAAGGTCATGGATAAGTGGATCGCTTTAGACCCTTGGGTTTCTGTAATGCCCACTCACTCTTGTGTGGTTTAAACTTCCTGCTGGTACCAGCGTCTCCCTCTCCCCTGTAATGTTCTACCTTTCTTTATGATGCTCCCTCTGCTTGCAAGGCCCTTCAGCAACAGATCTTGTCAACTAGAAGTAATCCTTTCTCAAACCCTGGGCGCTCTAGTTCTTCCTTGTACGATTTCTTACTCTTCAGTATATTTGTATTATTTTTTACATACCTTACCTCTCCAGCCAGACCACAAGCTACCTGACTGCAAGATTTGTGATTAATTCATCTTTGCATTCATTACTCATATAATTACTACTAATAAAAATGAGATGTCTTATTCATGTTTAATGAGTGAGTGAATGAATAAATGAACAGAATCTCAGATCTTAATATTCTGTGAAGATATACAATGGTGTTCTAGTTACAGCCAGGTAAACTGAGTAAATTATCAAAAGAAATCCCTGGTTTTATCTGTACAGGAAAGACATGTGTTTGACTTATACACATTCTCATACAAACTCTTCAGGTTTTCGATCAGGATTTCAGTGAGTTACTAAATCATTTTCCTTTTTCCTCGCCAGTTTCATATAATCCTATCACAGAAATGTGGGTAACTTTGAGATATATTTAGTTTACTATAACACAAAAGTATTAACCACTACTGAAAGTCTGTGAAATGTCTGGAAATCTGCTAAGTGTTTTACATCCTTCATTTCTTCAGAATAATGCAGTAAGCGGTATCATTTTATTACTAATGAGGAAACTGAGGCTGAGAGGCTAAATGACTCAGCGGTCATAGAACTAACGAGTGAAGGAGCCAGGACTGCACTCAGGACTTAAGAACATTTTGGATTTCTAATTGGGTCAAATCATGGACCTCTGTTTCAGCAGTTTCTTGTTGTTTGTTTCTGCTTCCTGTATTCAATTGTGTTTTTCTTTTTGGTGGTTACTGTATATAGTTTGTTGGGGGGCAGAGGGGAAGTCCTCTTTACCATCAGATTTATAAGTTTCTTCCTCCAGAGAGCTGCAAAGTTTTAACTACCATATGTTACAGTACCTCCATCTACCAGTTAGATTTATGGCTTACTTTAATTTTGGTAATTGTTGGAGTTAATGAACGTTAACCTGCAGGAAAAAATCCTTTTATGCTAGCCATTTACAGTAATAGCTAAACATGCATGTTTCTGTGTTTAAATATATATATAAAATCTTGCCTCCATTTAACGTCTCAGAGAGTCAAGATGCCATCCTAATTAATTTAGTCAAATAATGAGCCTTCAGGTTTTATGTGCAGTCTTCCTAGTGGGATGTGTTATTGTGAAGGAGCTCACCTCTGTCCTGCCAGCAAGCAACCCTCGTCATCCTCCAATAGGCTCTTAAATTAAGAAGCTGAGCAGCGCTGTTACGGGTCTGAAATCTCCTCCCGTGCTAACTGGAAAAAGGTCTATCAGCTCACCACGAGGGGAAAGAAGTCTTTGTCCTCTACGATGGAAGTCACACTTTCTGAGCACCTCACATTTTCTGAATTAGATTTTTGTGCATATACTATCCCCATTGTCTTTTAATTCTCATATGACAGCCCTTGAAAACATAAACTGCCATTTCATTTTACCAGGTGAGGAAACTGTAGCTCAACAGAGACAATAGCTAGTAAGTGACCCCAGGACGCATGAGTTGGGGTAGAGTAAGCAACTGGACCAAGGTGTGGCTGATTACCAAGTACAGGTTGTTTCTATGACTCTAATGTAAACGCAAAATGATAGCAATCATGCAAAATCACTGGGGGGAAAGCTCAACCACAATTCTAGATGATTAAAAAAATTCATTAAAATCATAGAGCCAGAAGGGATGGTAATGATGATCTAGTCCAACCCCCTTATTTTATAGATAGGGAAACTGACGCAGGGGTATGGTGGTCACCTGAGGCCACACAGCTAGTTAAGAGGCAGGGCTGTGATTCAGACCCATGCGAAGTCCAGTGACTTCCCCACCAGCGTACATTGTCAGTCCCAGGGCTGCCTCACCAACCTCAGTTAGCCAGGAGGACAAGGACATTCATTGTAATTGCCAGGTAAGAGCGGAGGTGGGGAGGCGGAAGGGAATATTTTGCAAACAACCTTCCAACCCAACCCCCGCCATGCTCGTAAAAGCCCAACCAGGCATCTTCTGTTTCATATCTGTCATGTGTTTGCAGATCCCTCGAGGGGCCGCATGTCCTGAGCGCCGGTCAGCTGCCTGGTCAGGTGCAAGGTGGAGCCCTGAGTTTCATTCTAGGTTCTGCCTCCCATTTTCCTCCCACAGAGCTGGGTAACACTTCACTTTGAGGAGGCCATTCATTAGGACTAGATTAAAAGTACAACTACTTAAGTATTTCTCGCCTTACCCACAGGGGCACTAAGACTGAAGCCAAGTTTATCCTGCTGGTTGGAATAAGGTAGTGCCCTCTGGACTGTCTCTGGCTGGAGAGCCCACCGGTACCGACCCTCACAATCATTCAGGCCTTTGAGGAAGTCCAGGGCAAAGGAATAAGAGATTTCAAATACTTCAGACAGGAAAGCCTGTGAAAGTAGACACATGAATATCATGTATCATTAAATGGTTATTTTCTGAACACCTGGCACAGTGCCTGGCTCACAGTAGGTACTCATTAAATATTGAATAAACCATTGCTCTAAAACTTTTAAGTTCTCCATAATTACTCAGAATGATAAAGGAAAGCGGGGGCTTAACCAACCTGTAAGTCGTTGGTTTGCCTTTAGTTTTTTGTTTCTTTTTTATATACCTTATAAAAAGGGCTTCCCTGAGCATATCTTTTTATCCCATCAGTGGAAGGATGTTGCCTTAGGAAGACTCCAGCTAGGGGAGGGCCCATCATCACCATCAAGTAGATAAACAGCCAAATAAAAACTGAGGACATACTCTGTATTAGGCACCATATTAGGTGCTCGTGGCCAGGAATTAAAGTTAGCCCTCAGTAAAGCTCAGATATATGGACCAATAATTGCAACACGGTTACTTACACAGTAATAGAAACATGAAATAGGTGGAGAGATAATAAAAAGGAACAGGTGATCAGGTTTATATAGAGACTTGTGGCTTAGGGGAGGAAACACCTGGGAAAGGTTTTGGCTGCCACCTAGAAGTCTATAAAATAGGAAAGAGGGAAGGCATCGTTTGGAGTGGTTGGGCAGCCTCATGCCACTTTTGAACAACTCAATAAAGAAGACAGTCTAGCTATGACGTACTGAGTGTGCCATGAGCTGTACCGGGTATTTTCATATCTGTGATCTCACGTCTTACAGCCTTCCTGGGGGCAGGGGTCACTTGCATCAGGAAGGGTGAAAGGCTTGCCCATGGCCACATGGCTAATGCCATGGAACTGGAAGATAAGCAGTGCCGTAGTTTTAGTGGTTTTCAGAGAGTGCTTGGTAGGTTCACAAGCGTTTTGCAGCGGTGCATAGGTTAGTGAGGGCTCCTAAAGTCTGTTCTCCAGGCCCTCAAACTGCTTCATCCAGAGCACCTGCCCTTTGTTCGGTTTTACATTAGGCTTGCCTGTAAGACTTTATTTGAATAAGGGGGCTGCTCCTTAAAAAAAAAAAAAAATGCTGCAGTTGAGCAAATTCGTTTCTTGGGAGTTATACTCTGCCATTTAGACAACACGGTAGATAACTGAAAGCTGACTGTCATGAAGACAGCCTGAAATAGTCACATGGAAGAAACAAAAACACTCAGACTACATTTATTTCCATACTGAGCCAGCCGTACTTGAGGGCCGAGGCACGAGTGGACTTCAGAGATGGGGCAGACCTGAGTGCTGAACGTCAATAGTGATAGCATATCCTTCCAAAAGCATCAGCAGCTCGAGGATCCTAGGCCTCATTTACATCCAGCCAGCCCATAATAGTAATCTCTCTGCTGAAAACTGTAAGCCAAAGGCCTTAGCCCCTGTTATTGCTTCAGCAAGTCCCCTACTGACAGCAAAGCCAGATCTCCTGCTGCCAGCTGCTAACACAGATAAAGTGGCTCTAATCACTAACGGAGCCATTTCTGATGCACTTTTAATTGGATAAATTTCCTCTCAAGTACACAATCTTTGAAAATCAGATGCAATTTCATAATCAGAGCATGGGCTTTCTCCAGGTAGAAAGCACAAGACAAACTAGTTCAATATCACTTTAATTACCTCTTTTCCTATCTGGAAACTATTACAACAGAAGCCCCCAAAAAGAGTGCTGGCCACCACCAAAAGAAAAACAATTTTGCGTTAGCTCAGTTTAGCAAATTTTGTTTCCGTGAAAGCAGGATAACTTCCCTTTGGCTGGCCGTCAGCCCTGCACCTGAAGAGCAGGATGCTTAGTAAACACCAAAGCTTGAGGAATGTTGTCACAAAGTCCCTCACCCACTCTGGTCTTAAAAACACAAGGCTTCTTCCTTTTTTGGAACGATAATTATAAAGGTAAAAGAGACGGTGGAAGACTCAGTTTAGAACTGGGTGTTGGTGACTCTAAACCTTGGGGGCTGGTTCTGTACACGTGTATGTGGGAATAAGATTTGCATTATCGTCACATCGTGCTTTTGGCTGAATTTGAACCTGGGTGGATCCTTAACGCTCTCAAAGAATGCCGTGTCAGACATGGAAGCCAAACAGCATGGTGCAATTTATCCCTCTCTCACCTCCCAAGTCCCGTATTTAATTAAAAGATGAACACCAGTGATGAAGAAACAGTTGTGCATTATTTAATACAGAAGTAGAAATTAACCCCGAAACCAAGGATTACACACTCACTTGAGGAAAATACAGAATAAGGACCCACCAATTTTGTTTCACAAATGAGATGAGATGTGTCCACCTCCCCACTTTGCTGGCCCTGGCCCGTGCTGTACGAGTCCACAGACCAGTCTCCGCCCAGGTCAGTGGAGAGGGGCAGTCTGAAAACCGATGAGCTCTAGAGACTATCCAACACTGACTGCTGACTGGGTTAGCATGTATGGTTGTTTATTCCCATCTTCCTGTGCTTTGGCATAATCCAATCTATGTGCTCCTTTAGAAGGCAAGCGATCTCCGGACTGTAGTCTTCAACACCAACCAACTGGGGTCAATTCATTCTCTGTCACATCTGCAATGAGAGACCAATCCGAGAGGGCCAGCTTCCCAAAGGGACTACATGTCTCCCTTGGTGGCACTAAATGAATGAGTTTCCACCCTGGTAAAGGTGATCAGACCTCAGACATCCTGCCACAAGGATATGACGTCTAAAATGTCACTGAAAGATGGAGCAGATCTCACTGGAGCATGCACACACAACGCAGCAGAGCTGAAGAGAAAGTGTCACCGACGAAACACGTTGTAATAGGAAGGAAATAATGGAGCAGGGTCATCGAAGCCAAAAGAGAAACACCAGCAAGAGTTCAACACAAGGGCAAATCCCAAATTCAGGGCAAACGGCTCTCTCCTGAAGCCTGGAAGTACCTTAAGTTCTAGTCAGACTTCAGCTAACTCCATCACATCATGGGTCTTGTTTAGGGTATCTGTTAAAGCTCTAAATTTAAGGGCGGGACGGGGGCGTGGAATAACGCAAGTAAAAAACTAAAAGAGCTTCTAAACTTCTAGGACTAGCCAGCTGGAATGAGGACATAGGCCGGGTCTACTGTACAGTACCACCACCAACCAAGAAATAAGGGAAGGGAAGGTGGCTGAGGAACAGAAGAAACTACTGTGTCCCACCCATCCCCCTAAGGGGTGGAATATCTTCTCAGGTGGTAGCTGTAGATCTTGATGCAGTGATCCCAACAGTCCAAGACCAGCAGCTGCCCCTTAGGAGTGAGGGCAATGCCCACGGGACACGTGAGCCCCTCTCGAATCAGGACGCTGAAGCCCCCACCCTTAGGAAAGTGGAGAATTTCCTTGCGGCTGCTATCCGCCACGATGAGGTCGCCACGGGCATCCACGCACATGCCGGCGATGCAGCGGAAGTCCTCGTTCTCCGAGAAGAAGTGGCTGATCTGGCGACCCAGCTGCCCATCAGGGCCCACAGAGCCGATGGAGAAGCCGCCCTCCAGGTGGTGTTCATTCTGCCGACTCTCCAAATTGAGGCCCAAGCCCTGGGTGAAGTAGACGGTGCCCTCGGCATCACAGGTGACAAACTTGGGGCGCACGGCACTGCAGAGGCAGCTGTATTTGACCACCCCGTCTCCTCGGTCCACAGTGAAACACCAGAGCTTTCCACCTTCCACATCGGTTACCACGAACTGGCCATTTGGAAGGGCTGTGATGCCCCAGGGTTTGCTCAGCTGGCTCCTGTGACACGCCACACAGTGGCCATCCAAGGTGTACACTTTGAGGGAGTTGTCATAGCTGTCAGTCACGCCAATCAGCCCATGGCAGTTCATGGCCACCGCCAGAGGAGTGAGATTGGGCAGATCGGCCCCAAGGAAGCTCAGCACGAAGCTGTCGATGCCGCTGGGGCTGCGGCGGATCTCCTTCAGAAAGCCTTTGCGGGTGAAGACTTGGATTCGGTAGTTGCCACGGTCGGCCACCAGCACCTCCCCTTGGCTGGTCACGTAGAGGCTGACTGGAAGGTTGAACATGCCTGGGGTGCTGCCCTTGGCCCCCATCTTCTTGAGGAAGAGGCACTGCTGGATGTTGGCCGCAGTCTCAGAACCCCGCTGCTTAGCCGGCGAGGCCCTGGGGCTGGCGGCCACTTCCTCGGGGCTCATGTCCATCTCCCGGAATGTAACAGAGCTGGAGGCAGCAGAGGCCGCGGCCTCCATGGCCCAGGAATCTTCCATGTTGACTGTCCGGGGCTTCTTCACGGCCTGCCCGATTTGGAGGGGGCCCACGTGGCCCACCTTCAGGAGCTCCACGTCCTGCAGGGTGAGCTCCCGGGGCAGGCTGGCTGTGAGCTCTGGCTCCTCCTCGTCTGCCGTCTCCTCCAGGAGGGCGACATCCGCCTGCTTGATCTTGGCCAGGAAGTAGTCGCAGCGAGACACGGCCTGCACCTCCGCAATGTTCAGCAGGTAACTCTGCTCCTCCACTACCTGGCTGTTGGATTTTTCGACCTCAGCCAAGGAGCCTGTGAAGAACTTGCGCGAGCGAGCCAGCTCCTCCTGGACCCTGCGCTCCTCGTGCCCGTACTCCTGGAGAACCGCCTTGTACCTCGCCTGCAGGTCCTTGGAGACCCCTTCCAAGGCGACCTTCCGCCGCTGCAGCTCCCCCATGAGCTCCCGCAGGTGGGCCAGCTTCTCGCCAAAGCCGCGGCGCCGCTCGTCCGCCGCCTCCTTCACAGGCAGCGTGCAGTGGCCGGGGGGCTGGTGGTCCGCCTCCCGGCAGGGCTCGCACAGCACCACGCCGCAGGTCCGGCAGAAGCGCCGGGGCAGCCGCCGCCCGCACGCGCGGCACATGAGCAGCCCCACGGCCTCGCTGAGCCCCGCCGTGTCGATGATCTTCAGCACCGTCAGGTTGTCTGTCAGCTGGGTCAGGCTGGTGATGCGGGTGATCTTGCTGCAGAAGGGGCAGCGCACGCCGTTGATGCTACTGGCCAGGAGCTTCTCCAGGCACTGGCGGCAGATGGTGTGGCCGCAGTGCAGGAGCTTGGGCCGCAGCTGCTCCTCCGTGAAGGACTCCATGCAGATGGGGCATTCCAGCACTTCGCGGAGGGCGTCCAGGTTCAGGTGAGACGCTGCCGCGGAGGCCATGGCTCCTCCTGGGAAGGGTCCCCGCTAGCGCCGCCCGGAAACGAACAGCTCTGTGGTCATGCTCCGGAAGGCCAGGCTCTGCCAAAGAGAAGCGGAAGCCATTATCCCATTATCCATTTACTTACGAAGCAGTTAGACAACAGCTACCCTCACCCAATCATTCACTTCCTGAACAGGTATTTGTTGAAGTCGACTTTGTGTTAGGGAAAGGAAACAGACGAGGCATCGCATAGTGGATAGAAATCCAGGCCCTGGAGTCTCTGGATACTTACTTACTGGTGTGACGTGAAGGAAGGAACCTACACTCCCCGAAGCTCAGCGTCCCCATCACCCATCTATAAAATTCAAATAGTAATGGCGTCTCCTTTTTTATAGTTTTCAGAGGGGTTAAACCACATGATGACTACGATGCACTCAGTATAGAGCTTGACAGTTGTATGTTTGATCAATGTTAGTGATTATTTTTATATTTTGTGAAGCATACAACTCATGGTTTATATTAGGAGAAAAGCCCAGAAAAAAAACATGAGGTACAGGAAAGGTTCACACAGGAAGTTCTGCAGGAGCGCGGTGGGTGGAGTAAGGGCTTCTTCCTAGAGGGAGTGGGGAAGGCTTCCCAGAAGCAGTGACACTCCTGAGATATGTCGTGAAAGAAATAAAGCAATGAGGGATAAAGGTATTTTAAGCCAAGAAGACTGTTGAGCAGAAGCATGAAGGCTTTTTTATCGTGTATGTAGTTTATTGTGTCACTATTTGGGGGCCGAGGAATCATCCAAATAGAAAAGTATGGTGATTAGCAAAAACATTAGATCAGAAAAATACATGTATTTTCCAATCATCCATTCCCCTAACTACTCACCCAGACACTCATCTAAGACTAGGTACCACTTACTGTGTTAGTAAGGTTTTCAGGATACAAAGTCTTCCCTTCAGATGCTAAAACTTCAGGAAAGCAGACGAGGCATGTAGGTAAACAATAATCAAGGCAGAAAGTACAATAGGATCATAAATGACATATAAACAAAGTTTGGTGAAGGCTAAGAGGGATTCCCTCTAATTTGAAGGGAAAATGGATTTCTCTGAGGAGGGATGGCATCTGATAGGGACCTGGAAGGATGAACAGATAGATACGTGGAGGTGGGGGAAAAGGAGTACCAGGCAAAGGGCACAGCCCTATAAAGGGCAGAAAGCACGGGAAAGGGCAGAACTTTAGTGAATTAAAAAGAGAACACATAGCCTGTCTGGGTTTGTTTCCCCATCTGCACCATAATAATAATACTGCCTTCACAAGGTCAGTGTAAGCATTAGATGAGATATGTGTGCTGCATAAATGCTAAGGTTTGGATCAGCACCAAAAGGGTCTTAAATGTGTTTTCTTTCCTCTCGCCCTTAGGTTAAAATCATGGGAGAATGGGAGTGGGGGAGGGGGTTATACTAACCGGTTTGGAAATTGGAAAATGATTATAAAAAGTCTTCAAAGCCAAAACGAGGCCTTTGAACTTCATTCTGATGGGCATAGGGAAGGAATGCATGTTTTGGAGCAGGGGGCTGATGTGAGCACTGCCTGAATGGAGCGGAGGGAAGGGCAGAGAAACTAGATTGCAAGACACTGCAGAAGTGCCTGGTGCAGGCACCACGGAGCCTGAACTAGGGAGCAGGGGGTGGGAATGGGAAGGAGATGCATCTGAGCAATACACTTCCCAGAGTAGAATCACTAAGATTATCCACTGAGTGGATCAGGGTGGCGATGTGGTAGAGCTGAGATAGCCAAAGACTGAAGCCCAGATGATTTTAAAAATGGGAGTGCTTTATCAAGGCAATTTATTTTGGGCCTGGAACACCCCCTGCTTCACGCAATACATGCTGTGTATGCTCCCACCCTCCATCCGCACATGCTCATGGAGTAGAACCGCGGAGATCGCAGTGCTTTGCTGCCTTATGTCATTGTCAATCTAGTCCCCAAATTAGAATGAATTGATTTAGCAAGGTGAGGCACATGGATAAATTCAGCTCTTCTTGCATGCACACCCCACAGCTGCATCTGTGCCATCTCGTGATATGCAGATGGTCAACCATCGCAGAGGAGGAGGAGGAGGAGGAGGAGGAGGAGGTACAGAGCAGCGTAGCTTGGTTTCTAAGGCAATGCAGCCAGCTGAGGAGAGCTTTGCAAATGTCATCAAGTCTTTCTCCAGGCATAGAAGAAGGGGAGTCAATGCAGAGCTACATATTACTAAATTTCCCCCATATTTAACTTTGGATGGCAATCTGACAAGTAGTAAGCAGCAGACACGCACAATTGATCTAACGTCAGTCCCCCTCCCTGAAATCTATTGTACTTCTCTTTCAGTGTACAGGAAACAGTATATATCTAGTACCGACCACATGCTAGGCACCAGGCTACATGTTTCATATAATCTCATTGAATCTTCATAATGGCCCTTTGAAATAGGTACTATTTCTATTGTCCTATTTTACAGAAGAGGAAACTGTGGCTCAGAAAAACGGGCTTCAGGTCACGTGGCTCAAACATGGTGCAACCCGCAAAACATGTATCTTTAACTTTGCTTAACCCGGCATTACTTCAAGCTATTTTTTTAACTGTCATATGACTCTTATTAACAAATGCTCTCTAGACTGTGCTCTGGGAAGTACAGCCTTCTAGCTATAATTTCCTGTACGTGGAAGAAGGAATGATAAGATGGTTACAAGATACATGAGTTAGATTGATTTATTAGCTAAGGGACCCACTCCCACACAGCAGTCTTGTGACTGGCTCTGATTCAAATCCATGCCTCAACTAAGTAAGACATTACCGCACATCATGAACCTATGAGGTCTCCTGTAAACGTCTGAAACTGTGAATACTGAATTCTTAAATGCCAGGGGTCTGGGGGCAACAGTATAGAAAAACTGACAGAGCCTGAACTCCGGATCCATGCAAACATTCTCGATTCTAATCCAATAAAATAGCTTCAGTCCCCCCTTCATCCCAACGGCCTGATGGCAACATTCAGTGTTTGGATCCAGAGCATGTTACCTTACAATGCATAGGGACATCTGTTCTTCCCAGAACTGGCACTGCAGATCAGCTCATTAAACAAGGCTGCCAACTTGTAAAAATACCAACAAAATTATTGTTCCCCAGCTTTCTGCAATATCCTACCACTTCCTTCAATTAAAAAAGCTTCTTGCCTCCCTGTCTGAACTGTCCACTGTAAAAAAATGAACTTACTATGCCCACGTCCATATCCCAAGCTATCTCAACTGTCTGTGGCTTCACTAGGCTCTCTGAGGAAAGACAATGTCAAGGATGCCTGCCCCAAAGCACGTCTCTCATTTCTAGGACCTGGGAATACAGGATCCTCGCCTGATACGGAGCTACGTGATAGACAGATACAGTCTCTCTCCTCCAGAAAGATGCATCTGGTCATTATTGTTAATACTGAGAATGATTCAGATGGAAAGTCAATTCAAACTCAGTTTCCCTGAAACGACTAGATGGGTAAAAGGAATGTTCTTACCATCAAGTCTTTAAGTTGGCTGCCCATTTTCCGCCAGCTACAAAATCGAAAACCAGTCAGAGTGAACCCCAACATGCCATGTACTTATAATCTTGGCTGCCTTCATGGCACATGTTTCCTGCCAATTTGTATTGTTAACTCCTGACCCCTCACCTCACTTCAGTTTACCCCCCTGCACTCCTTTGATCTCATGATCAACACTGCACATCCCATACCGATGCCAGCCCAGCTTTTCAGCTCCAGATGAGACCCAAGACTCAGGACAATTTTATAGTCTTACTCGAGCCTAATCTGGTTACTTCTGGCACCACCAGCCTTTCTCTAGTCCATGATAAAAATAACCAGAGGAGCAGAAAAAAAACAAAGCAAAACAAAACAACCATGAACCTTGAAGTCTGACAGGACTGGGATCAAATCAGCATCGTCACGTACAAGTTGTAGGACAGTAGGCAAGGTAATTAACTAAACATGTTTTTTGTTTTTTTTTTTGTTTTTTTTTTTTTACTTTATAAAAAGGCCATGGTGACAACTACGCATTTAAAGGGCTTGGCCTGGAAACCGTAGGTATGCAATGGAAGGAAGACTGTTACTAAAATTAGGATACACAGCAATCAGGAGCAGTGAGAACAACAGTAACTAGTACCAGTATGAAGCCTTCAGTTTACAAACTGCAGTTTGAAAGGAGGAAGAATCTTTCCTTTCATGGCATATAAAGATGAATGAAAGGACTGGTCAGCTTTGAAGGAATCTGAGCGAGGACACGAGGGAGCCGTACTAGGAACCGATGGGCAACTTCTCTTGCTCCAGAAAGAAGCTCCTTGCGGTGACTAAATACGGAATGCTGGGATTAGTAGTGATCTCAAAGAGTAACGCCCACGAGTAAACTAAGAACAGGACAGAGGCATCAAGACCTCGTTCATCACATGGCAGAACTAGGACTAACAGGCAGGACCTGGGCATGGGCAATGTTATATGGACTAAGACAGTGGGCTCCCGAATCAGGCTTTCTAGATCTCTGCCACTTACCGTGGCGACGGGCAAGTTACCTAACCTCTCTAGTTCTGTTTATGTAAGAAAAAGGGCTTCAACATAGTATCTTTCTCACAAGGTTATTGTAAAAATTAACTCAGGTCATGTGTATAAAGCACTTAGTACAGTACTAAGTGAGGTATACAATGAACTGGGCAGTAGATAATAGTTTTAAGGGGCAGCAGTGGTGTGGCCACCACCTAGCCAATGAGAAGAAATGAACAGGCACTTCTCAACAGGCAGAACCTACCCAAGCTATAAAATACCTAACATTTCAAAAATAAAAATTCTGAGCCTTCCTTGAGGACTGTCTTACCTGATCTCAGAATCAAAGGATTAGAGATGACCTAAAGCTTCAAATCTCCACCCAGTGCTTGAATCCCCACCATGGGGTAGTTCTCTGGATGCCTCTGTGTCCTATATATCAGCCCCTCGCACTTAGGCTGTGAGCAAGACTGGAGAATGTGAAGCGATTAAACAAATCTTGACTGAGCACCTACTGTGAGTCACACACTGGGGATATAGCTTTGGGCAAAACCAGACATGAGCAGAGCCCTTCCTCTGAAAACGAGAGCACATATCAAGCAGTGCCACATTCCCTTTTCACAGGACACAAAGGTCTGTCCTGCTAGTGACACACTGCCCTGGTTTGACTCTTTTGCAAGGATTCTCACATTTCCTTTCAGGACAGCTTTCTAAACTGCATTGATTTCTCCTGCATTTGAATGGCACGCTAATCAAGTGCACAGCCCTCTCCGGGTCACCAGTGGTCACTCTCTGGGCATGGCTAGCAGGACTGAAGTTGAGAAAGTCAGTGAGGTCCCCACCTGACACCCAGTCCCGTGTGGGGGAGGAGATTCTCAAGTTTATTTGGGGTCCATTTGAGGCACCGGCCACCAGCTAGGATAAACTCACCAGGCAGGGGCTTACAGGGAAACAAAGGGTTGACCCGAATACCAGTCTGGGGCACGTGAAACAACCCAGGAGAAAATGCTTGTGGGAAAGGAAACTTGAGCTAAACTATGTCAAGGACAGCTTAAATCAATAATAGAGTTTGCTGGGAAAACGCTTGTCTGTTCTCTTTCTTCTAAAACTGAAGGACCGAGAAAGGTCCCCTTGATCTTCCACAGATATTTGCGTAATAGCAGTCCTGCCAATGTGACAAAAAATAGAAGACAAGGAAAAAAGTCTTGTCGCAGGGAACCTCCAACTCATCTCTTTCAGTTCCTTTCTCTGCATATAGCGCATATCCATTTAATCATGAGATAGTGCTTAAAGGATCAGGAGGCAGATCCTGGGAAAGGTACAACAGGGGATGGGAGTTGGGGGCAGCCGAGTGGGGACTGCTTAGGGTCACCGAAAACTGCCCAACCAACACCCGTTCCCTTCAGGCATCCCCTTCCTCCCGTACCGCTCATAAAACTAACAATAATTGACTGCCAGGCACCTTTTATACATGATCTCTTATTCTCATAATAACCATGTGAAATATGTGTTATTCCTCTTTATAAATAAGGAAATTGAGGCTCAGAGAAAAGCAACCTGCCCAAGGTTTCAAAGCTGGGAAGTGGTAGAACTGAGGTTCAAATCCAGGTGTGTCCACTCCCAGCCATAAAACCACATCGGCTGAAAGGACGTTACAGCTCCTCAGCTGATTCGCCTCCAGGCAGTCTGGCTGAGGGGCTGGAATGTTTTTTAAATCTGACTGCTCTCCGAGTAGCCCCTCATGGACAGAGTGTCACAGAGGCAGCACATCGGTGTACCTAGACAGTGATCCCCCTCAAGGGCCTTGTCAATTGTGGACTACCAGCCACTCTCCAGACAGAAGCGTATGGGTTCTGTAGTGTTGGAAAAGGCTTTCTAACAAAGCTAGTATGTCACTTAGGAGCCAGACAGAACTGCCATTGCATCCCTGCTTTGCCTCTTTGCCTTGATGTGTCATTTCACTTAATAATTTTTGCATCTGTAAAATGGGGAGTAACATCTAGACTGTCGGCAGGATCACTGGCAGGATTAACAGAGATAATGCACGTGATAAGTATGCAATGAGTGGTAGCTACCTGTATTTTTAGTTGACTGAGGCTGATAAGGGCAAGCACTCATCCAAGATCACTCAGTGAATCAGCAGCAGAGGGCGGATTTTGGACTACAAGCCTCTGATTCCCAGGCTGAGTCAATTCCCATTACATACTGTCCTAAAGGGTGCGTGCGACTCTTCCAGTTGAGCCCCGAGCCTTCCCATCCAGTCCTCAGATGTTCTGAACTGGCTTCAGCAATGCCAGAGCTAGTCCTGGAGCTGAGGGAGTGAAGCCTGTGACTCTGTCCCAGGGGACAGAAGCCCGAGGGAGATCATTCAGAACAATGGTTAGGATTGTCTTCAGCCTCAGCCCCTGCTAGGAGGTCTTTTTTCAAGCCAATGGCCTCCCTACTGCACCTCCTAGTCTCTTGTACCTCATGTCTGCCAACCTAAAGCTCCTGCCTTTATCTACCCACTGGTCTAAGAGCTAATGGAGAACCAAGTCCGGGGCTGCCCCCTGCCTAATCACATACATTTATCCTCTTTAAAGTTCAGGTTGACACTCAGCAATACTCCCTGGGCAATCCTTTCATTAGAGGGGAATCAGCTAAGATAAGAAGACTCAGGTCTCCCAAGGACAAAGCAAGGGAAGAGGGAATACACAGGGTTACGGAGATCAGAATATGAGCCCAGCTCTGCCACTCTTAGCTATGGAACCTTACACAAGTCACTTCCTATGCCTTAGTTTCCTTATGTGTAAAACTGGATATGGTAGAGCCCACTTCGTAGGGCTATTATGAAAACTAAGAAAGTAGATATAAAAATTTTAAAAATACTAAACTCTGGGCACTTACGAAGCACTCTTGATCTACTTCACTGAATCTTCACAATAAGCCTCTGATGCAGGCCCTGGTATTAACCCCACTTTACAGATGAAGAGACAAGGCACAGGGAGGCTAAGGAACTCATTCAAGATCACACAGGCAGGAAGAGAGACAGCCAGGATCTGAACCCAGGATATCTGACGTTAGAGCAGCGTTCCTCAATTTTGGCACTATTGCCATTTGGGGGCAGAGAATTCTTTATTGTGAGGGCTGTCCAGTGCACTGAAGGATGTTTAACTGCACCCCTGGTGTCTACCCACTAGAGGCCAGTAGTACCCCACACCCCACCTGTGACAACCAAAAATGTCTCCAGACAACATCGCCCCCAGTTAGGAAGCATGGCTTCAGAACTTGGTACAGGACGAAATGCGCAATACCTCTGAGTTGCCCTTTTCTTGTCTCTCTCCCAGCCCAAAGCCGTCATTCGCAGAGCTACTGCCTCTGGGAGCTGTAATGGGCCTTATATATAGGATGGCTTCAATCTACTTGTTTCACAGATGCGGGACATAGGGCCTGAGATCATATTCCACTCACTGCCTGGAGGTCTTACATCCTATTTGCTATCACAGCTTGGAGAGACAGGCAGACAGCAGCTTAGGTAGATGACCTTGAATACTTTCCTGTGCCACGCCCCCTTTGACCCCGCTCTTGTGCCCCACCCTACCCCCCAATCCTACCACTTTCAGCAGGCCTGGGGTTCACAGTCCAGTTAGTGGCAGGGACCATGGCTGCCTCATGGCAAGCAATCTGATGAATGCGCGAGGGCGATTTAGCCTCTCAAAAAGGCAGGCTCCCGGCAAGAGTCCTGACCGCTGAAGATTTATGACTTTGTTGCTCAACCCCTGAACTCGGCTGAACTTCACACACTCATAGTTTCATACATTACTTCTAGGTCCATGGGTCCCCAGAACTCTCTTTGCTTCCTATGCCGAGACTTCCAGGAAAATTCCTTTAGCGGAATTTCCATGACACCAACCCACAAATCTACTCGGAGTCCTTAATTCTATAGCCCCGTTAGGACCTCCCCACCCCACCATTCACACCACCCCAAATCCAGTTCCCAACCCTCTTACACAATTCAAACCTGTTGGGCTCTATATTGAAACCCTCACCAGTTCTTCACTCATGAGCCACAAATCTCTCTGACATAGACCGTTTAACCTGTTTCCGAATCTCTGCAGCCTTCAACCCTGCGTCCCGGTTTAAAACCCCAATCCCACACCTCAGATCTGTGCCCTCCCTCCACCGAAGCCCCCAAAGCCTATATTCCATCAGGCACTGTGCATCCCCCAAACCTTGGGCCTTCTTTTACCCGCCCCCACATCATGTGTTGCCATCAAACCTTAGCCGGGCCCCTTTTTGCTAACAAAACACTGCTTCCCACTGAGTCCAGGAACTCACCCTCTCAATTTCCCCCAGACCCCATCTGGAAAACGCTTCCTCCTTAGCAATTAGGATGGCCCCAGGCCCTGCTCCCTCTGATCTCACAGTGCAGCCCCAAATGCCTAGCGCCCCTTGATTCCCTCAAATCTCCTTAGATTATGCATCTCAAATCTCATCAGGGCCCCCACATTCCTTCACATTTCTGAAACCCTGCACGCCGATCCCTTAAGGGCCTTCAGCTCCCCTCCCATCTCCCAGATGCTGCACCCCCCTCTCTCCTCAGGGCCCCCACATTACCTCATACCTCCAGAGATGCTACACCGTGAAGCTTCTCAGAGCCCTTAGCTCCCCTCCCCGAGCTGCAAGTCCTCCAAGCTCCCGAGCCCTATGGAATCCCTCCCGAGCATGCCCCTCACAGCCCCACCCCCACCTCTGTCCCTTGGATCCTGTCCCCAAACCCTGCCATTCGGACGTGAGCTGGCAGCTGCACGCTAGCTCAGCCCCCCACCCCGCCGCTCGGCCATGGCCTGCGACTCCTGCCGCGATTCCCTTGTCCCCGACCCTCCTTCCCGCCCCCTACCTGACTGCCCGCGGCTCCAACGCTTCCACCGCCACCAGCCCACCCTCCTGCTGCCATCTGCGCAGGCGCAGCCGCGCGCCCCTTGGCGGGCTCCAATTAGCAGAGCCACCTGTCTGTCACCGGGCCCCGCCCCCTGAGGCATGTCGGGGCTTGTAGTCCTCTAGGCCAAAGCGCCTGGGGCCCAGTGGCTGGGTAGGGAAGGGCAAGCCCTCAGCTGAGAATTCTTGGCCTTGGCAACAAAGTAGTTCAGCTTTCTGTCTCCATTGTACAAAGAAACGAGATGAAAGGGGCCTGCTTAAGTTCACTGCCCAAGTCAGGATCTAAACTCCACTGCAGTCTGTGTCTTAACCCTTTCTCTAAACCAGCGGGTCACAACCAGAACATGGACTTGCTTAGAAAGCAGTACTTTGGGGCCCTTATTTCTCCTTGTGAAATACCACCGCCTAGAGACAAGTTTATCTGATAAACAAATTACTCATTTGAAGGAGGCTTTTGCCTGTTTGGCTGAGAGGCACTGACCGGAGAGGTAGATTTGGGAACACACCGCAACTCTTGTCCTTGCAGATCGAAGCTACCCAGGAACCCAAATCCAAGTCTAGCTCTGAGTGAGCAGGGAAAGGGCTGTCTTCCTAGGTGGGGGGTGCTCTGGCCAACCCGGTGGCTTGGACCCATGGCCCCTTAGATAGCTTGGGGCCAATTACCGGTTCCTGCAGGTGACCGTATAGTTTAGCTTAGGAGCAGGAAGAGGCTTGAAGTAGACTGGGCTTGGACTTGAAATCCCATGTAAGTATGTGACCCTGCACAACGATAAAACAACAAACAAAAACAATAACAAAGCCGCCATCTCTGAGCACTCAGTACCTGGCTGCAGCTGAACACTTCACATGCGTAGCTCACTTAATCCTCATAAAGACCCCATGAGAGAAGCGACTGATGTCCAGGTGACTAAGTAACAAAACCACATGTTCATAAGTTTAAAGCCCAGACTGGAACCCAGCTCTACCTGAGAACCCACCCTCTTAACCTTGTTTAATCTCTCTGTGCATTTCTTTATCTCTAAATGGAAATGAGGCTTGCTGTAAGGACTAGGATTATTAATATATAATGAACTGCATTTAATTAATGGTAACTTAGCTCTTACACTCTCCAGACTGCTGGTTCCAGAAGCCCTGGCTCCCAGCATTTTAGATATTGAAGGCAATTGGGAGACTGCGTTATATACTTCATGGAATCCTTTGAGCGGGCCTGGGCTGGCATAGAGCTCTGGGGCGATCTGAGACTTCCAGGATATGTTTGCAATCCAGGGCCAACCAGGGTTTGATCTGACAGGTTAGGCATGGGCTGAAGAGGGAGCTCAGTCTCAGGGACTGAAAGGCCCTGGGGCAGGTTTTGCTCAAAATTGGCAGATAGTAAGTGCAGATAGGACCTTGCAGGGCCAGGAGAGTAGGGATGCCTGCTTCTCCCGCTTTCCTGGGCTCTTGGGAACTTCAAGGTGCTCACTGCATGCTTACCAAAGACTACGATTTGTACTTTAATAATTTCTAACAAAACACATACCAGGTTGGGCTTTTTATCCACTTCCTTGCAATTTTCACCAGTGGGCTGTGAAATCCCTGAAGGACAATGCTCATTTGTTGTCACATCTGTCAGCACAGTGCCCAGCACATAAGAGTAGCTGAGTAGGTGAGTCAAACTCAGAAATGTAACCTTAGGCAAATCACATTCCCCTCTGACCCAGAGTAATTCTAGCTGCTGAATAACTCAGTGGGGTCACTTGGGTAAGGACCAACCATTTTTTCAACACCAGTAATATACCAAGCACCTCATAGATATTGTTTCAAGTCCCAATTAATCCCCTCAACAGTGATTCAAGTAGATATCAGTAGCTCCATCTTACAGAAGAGGCATCCTGTTTGCTGAAAACCACAGTTAACAGCACAAAGTCTCAACTCAGGACTGATCATATTTTTATATTGCTGTTTCAGCAGTCACAGAGAGGAACGAATGATACTCCTGATAGCCTGGGGATGTAATCCAAGCATGGCCTTAAACAACAGTGATGACAGCAACAAAAATCCTGTCTTTTTTCTTAAAAAAAAATTTGCCTTTCACTATTTTTTTTAAATTTTTTAAATTACTTACCAGTTTATTACCGTACTTTGCACAAAATCTCAAGAGTGAAATAAACACCCTGGGAAAATACACTCATTTTAATCGTGTAGCTTTGCATACCCTGGCACAATATTAGCATTCCTCATACACAGACACCATTTTTTTTTTTAAGATTTTATTGGGGAATTCAGGGAGGGGAACAGACAAGTTGCTGTCCTTTAGTTCTTCAGTCTAGTTGTGGAGGACGTCGCTTCACTGGCCCATGTTAGTATTATCATTGCGCTCTTCCCAGGTGAGGGAGATCAGTCACTGCCTCTGGACGGCCCGCTCACGGCGGCTGCTGGTTACACACGGTAGCCCATGGGAACCCACTGCAGCAGGGGCTGCAGCCTACGCCGTCGCCAGCGACTCATGGCAGCCCAGCTCCAGGTCAAGCTGTTGTTCAGCATCTTAGCTGTAGAGGGCAGTGTCACTGGCCCTCATGTGGGATCCGAACCGGGGTCCTGCTGCTCAGAGCTGGCGTCCCAAGCCAGCTGTTAACCAATGCACCACTCGGCCGGCCCCACAGACACCATTTTAAAATACTCTTTGTGAAGCACTTTAGGTACAGACGTACCTCGGAGCTACTGTGGGTTCCATTGCAGACCACTGGAATAAAGCGAATGTCTCAATAGAGTGAATCACACAAATATTTTGGTTTCCCAGTACATAAAAGTTATGTTTATACTATATTGCAGTCTATTAAGTGTGCAGTAAGTAGCATTATGTGTAAAAGAACAATGCACATACCTTAATTAAAAAGTACTTTATTGCTACAAAATGCTAACCATCACCTGAGCCTTCAGTGAGTTTTAATGATCATAGTAGCATCAAAGATCACAGATCACCATAACAAATGTAATCATAATGAAAAAGTTGAAATGTGAGAATTACCAAAATGTGACACAGAAGCTAGAAGCAAATGCTGTTGGAAAAGTGGCACTAATAGGCTTGCTTGATGCAGGGTTGCCACAAACCTTCCATTTGTAAAAGCAATGCAGTGTCTGCGTAGCACAATACAGCAAACCTCAATAAAAGGAGATATGCCTATACTCTTTATTCAGCATTTTGATATCATGTTTTCATTTAGCATTTAAATTACCTGTATCAGTTTCTTAGAGCTGTCGTAACAAAGTATCACGAAATGGGTGGCTGAAAACAAAAGAAAGTTATTGTCACATTTCTGGGTGCTAGAAGGTCTGAAATCAAAGTGTCAGCGGGGCCCTGCTTTCTCTGAAATCTCTAACTGATTTCAGGAAATCCTTTCCTCTTTTAGCTTCTGGTGGCCCATCGTCCCTTGGCTGCTGGTGGCATCTCTCCGGGTCCGCTTCTGTCTCCACGTGGTCATTTTCTGCCTGTGTGTCTCCGGCTTCATGTGGCATTCTCTCTCTCTCTCTCTCTCTCTCTCTCTCTCTCTCTCTCTCCCTCTCTCCCCCCTCTCCCCCCATCCCTCCCTCCCTCTTTCTCTCTCTGTGTATGTCTTATAAGGACACCACTGATA